CTTCGAGCGGTCAAGATAAACATTGGCTTGGGGAGAAATTTTAAAGTAGAAGAGCAGTTTGTACAAGAAAATCACCATTGACTTTTGATTCACCTGGGTCTTGAATTCAGGGAACTTATCGAAAATAAGTGTCAGGTGCAAAGCCTCTGCAGCCAGCCAAGGATCAATTGGCATTGCTCCACTGTTTGATGCATTGAGCTGAGCAGCTCTCTTGCAAATCAAGACCACAAGCATGTTGAGAGCGAGATCACCTGCAAAGGCTCCTTCGCTCAGTGGCTTGATATTAAGCTCATTGCCAATCTCTAAAATGGCAGTTGCAAGAGTGACAATTCTAGTGCTGCTTTTGGTCAGCAAGTCGTACAGCAGAGCAGAGCTCTTGCTCAACTTGAAGCCCTTAAAGTTGGCGCAGCTCAGGTCGCCGTGACGATTGACCGGCACTTTGCTGCTGCTGTCCTGGGTGAAGAAGAGACAGCGTTCAGTGCAGAAGCTGACTCGGCTACACTTGGGGCAGGGAACGCCGCCAAAGGGAAGTGGCTTGCAGCACTGGCCGCAGTGATGACTGGCAGTCGCCCAGTTGGAGGCGATGACGGGCTCGTAGAAGATGACCCGCCCCGAGGTGAGGGTGCGTCGGGTTCGCAGGCAGTTCGCCGTAAAGTCTAACAGGACGTTGACGAGGATGTTGGTCACCGGCGAAGGGGCCTTCTTTGAGCTCGAGGCCTGAGCCGGATCAAGAGCGGCTTTCAGCCGGGCCTCCTTCTCCTTGTTAAACTCCAGCGGCGACTGAAGCTGAAAAGAGTCAAAGACGCTGAAGTCTCGGCTCAGCGTGCTCTTGATCTCCTTGTACTGCGACAGCAGAATGGAGAACAGTCGTGGGCGAGTCTAGTGGGAGGGCGTGTCAGTAGACAAAGTGGTGATCAGTGAGGTTCCAAGCAAACATATGTGATCATCTTACCTGAAAATCGGCAATCGCTTCTGCGAGAAGGCACTCCTCAGCCTTGGCGCGGACACGTCGAATCTCCGCCACAAGTTTGCCCATCTGGCGGTGCATTGCAGTGCCAGACTGGCCCATTGAAGCGAGTCGCTTCATGTAGTTCTTCATGGTGCGTCCATAGCTCTCAAAGAGAGCCTGTGCATTGTACTGCACCTCCACCAGATGACGACGGTCGGTGTACTTGGGGGCGCACTGGCGCAACCACAGCATGCTGTACATCTCAAAGCGTGTCTGGTTCTTCAGGTTGTCGCCGTTGTAGATCTGAGCCAGCGCCTTGTACGCGGACTCCAGCGTCTTCTCAATGGCTGGGTTGCCAGCATCGCCCTAAGTGATGACGTTAAGACGGTAAAAAGTTTATTAGGCAAAAACAGGAGCAAAAACGCTTACCAGTAAAGTGGGCATCAACATTAGGCCCTTGTGAATGAGGGTTGCAGCGTCTTCGAGATCCTTCCTGCGTGGCTTTCCAGCACCTCGAGACTGCTTACGCTCAAAGACAGCGCAACCAGATGCAATGTACGACTCGGCTTTGTTATGGTCTTTTGCAACGCTCGTTTCGTCGGCATTGACCAGAACTGCAAGACCATTGGCCAAAGCCGCAAATTCATTGCTAGCTAGCAAATCGTTCAAACTAGTAGCGCCTGAATTTTTCACAAAATCAAAAACTTTCTGCTTTTCAGCGATCAACGGATCTCGAGAGCGCTTTCTTCGATTAGCATTTGGAGCTTGAGCAGTTTGGGTGCTTGTGGCCATCACTACTGTCTAGGGGAGGGAAGAAAGAAAGTTAGTAAATGGAAATGCAAGTGGAAAAAGGTTTTACCTTTCAGACAACAAAAGATGACAAGAGTCGACCAATCAGAAGTGTTCACTTAGGATAAAGCTGCTAACCGAATAAAAACTAACCAAGTCTGTGTCATGCAATGGCAAAGTGGAGCGTCATTTATTGAATCGGTGGACTCAATTTCGAACACTCTGCACAGCAAATAGTTCTTTATTTGATAAAACAAAAAAGTTACAAGTTTTGTTTTCCAAAAAGATCTGTCACACAAAGATGTAGTGGAGTGGGGGTGAACAAAATAAAATAGGTAATGGTGAGAGAAATGCCGTTGAACTAGTGGAACTTTGTATCACTAATGTTTAGAGAAGCCTCCTCTTTGTTAACTGGCGTTGTTGTCTGGTTCTCTGTATGAGTGGGTTGCATAGTTTGCTGTTGCTGCTGCTGCTGTTCCTGAAGCATGTGTGATTCTAAAAGGTGGTCTGACTTTCTTAAAGAAGCCTTTCCCATATTAGAGTGCATATCAGAGTTGGGAGACAGAAGGGCAGACTGGTCGGGCACTGCTACAGGTGTAGCTGTGACATTCGATTGAAAAGAAAAGGTGGAAACATCACGAGGAATGCCCCCTGCAGTTGAACTTCCGTAGACTAAATACCCTTGCCGCGGCTGATTGTACGCGTACGGACCGTAGTGGTCAAAGTGAAGGCCTTGGGTACCTGTTCCCTGCTGGCCACTGGCCCCGCCAAAGCTTCCGTTGATGGAGGATGCAAAGTCATCATCGCCATCCAGTAGGTCGTCATCCATCTGCGGGCGGTAGCTAAAGTTGACTGCCCCACGAAGGCCAGAAGTGAAGAGGTTGGTGGGTCGATTTAGTGCTGGTGCACTCACAGAACTGCTGCCTCTGCCAGCAGNTCCATCTGCGGGCGGTAGCTAAAGTTGACTGCCCCACGAAGGCCAGAAGTAAAGAGGTTGGTGGGTCGATTTAGTGCTGGTGCACTCACAGAACTGCTGCCTCTGCCAGCAACGTTCCGACCAGCCGACTCTGAACCGGCCGTTGTAGTCACCAGAGCGGATGCAGCCGTGTTGGAAGCCCCTACTGCCAGGAAGGGCGACAGAAATGTAAAGTAGACAAGTGGCGTAAAGGCGGTAAAGTACAGGTAAGTGGTCGCGTCCACAATGCACAACCCGGAAATTTGGTTGAGGTAAAAGAGAAGGGCGCCTAATGCTTGGACCAGGTTAAGAGCAGATAGAATGCCAGCGTACATGTAGAAGGATGGTTTAGCTACGTAAAAAGACATCATCAGTTAGTTTACAAAATACATCAAATTGCAAACACAGAGTACGACTTACTTGGCAATAAAAGGCGATTTCTACATGGCGTCCAGGGCAGCAGTACGACTACGAGGTAAACGAAAAACGAGGCCGTACACGTGCCACACCAGAACACCATTCCGCCGTGGCCGTAGAGATAGTAGTCTTTTGATGCAATGTAAAATGAAGCATCGGGTGCAATGATCTCAAAAGATCCTTGACAGATTGAGTAGACTAGTGAGACAAAGAGAGTAATTGAAAGGATTCGTCGAATGGATGAGCGCACATCGAGGTGTCCCGAGAAGAGTCCAAAAACGAGGACTGAGATTTCAGTTGAGAGGAGGAAAAAGCGAACAATGACCCAAAATATCTGCAAAAACAAGCAAATACGGTTAGAAAAAAATGCTAATTTATACACTGCACGAAAAAGTGTTACCTTGTCAGTGAGATCGCCGCCAGTGGTGTGTACTTTCATGACTACCGAGACGAAGCATCTCATCATGGACACGGAAACGCATAAATAAATAAAAATGTAAAAGTTACGCAAAATAGGAAAGGAATTTAGCTGGCGAACTCGTTCTCTTGAGGTTTTGAATCGATAGAGGAGAAATAGGAGGAATAGAAAGTTGGGCACGAATATCATCGCATCCCAACATCGAATTCGGGTTTCCGGAATCTCACTGTAGAGAATTGATTTGCACAAATGCTCATCATTGGTTGATTCATTTGTCGCATGAGTGTGGCGGTGAGACCAAGAGGAAAGAATGGAAGCGACTGAGGAGTGGACACTTGAACTGTTGTCGGGTGCCATGGTTATTTACGGTATAAAATGCAAGGTGTGAGTTGACTGGGAAGCTTCAGTTTCGTACTTTAGGTTGCTGTAATGTTCAGTTCGGTGGCAGGAACGCCATAGGCCGAAAAAAGCTGTATCACATTTTGTTATGGAAGATGCAGTCGTGTGAAATGCAATGCGTCATTGGCAATCAATTCAAGATCGAGGTGCGCCTTTTGCCGAGATGATCATCATCCAAATGAGGGTGAATTGTCTTCCAGGAAGGTTTGCAGAGACCTCCGACGACCACCCTTTCTGGTCTCTGTCCGCTCGTCAGTGTCTGTGAAGTGTCGCGATGTCAAATGTAGAAATTGGAACAGCACTACTCATGCCACCAGCATCAACAAAACATCGAGTCACAGCGGCACTAGGCGAGTGTCTCTTTCCTCCACCAGAAGGAGCGAGAACGGGAATCGAGTTGTTTTGAAATTATAATTTTGATAATTTTATCTTTGCAGATAACTTGGCACCTCTGCGTCCAAATTCAGGAAACATTTAAGTTTTTTTCATTTTGCTTAGCAAAACAAGACTACCTGTTGACTAAGCTTAAAGATAAGGGCCAAAAGATATAAGCTTCTGGTGTCATTTTTTGTTGCAACAAAAAGTCCGCGACAGCGAGCACGCATTATATGGTAAAGATAATAATTTCCATAGTTTATTTACACAATGATTTATGATAAGTTTTATCCATTCTGTCCACTAGTCATGAAAGGAACAACTTTTAGGTTGAAACAAAGTTCAAAAGCGCAATGTCCCGTAGGGAGGAAAGCAGGAAATTGACTGTAGAAAAGTTGAGTCATTTCGTGACGTCACAGCACGTCGAAGCAGGCGGAAGTGCCCTCTGCTGGCAGCAAGAGGCGAAATGTTGTCTGGCTCTCTTCTGATAATGCGCATTAACTGTGCCAGTGTCTGTGCGCTTTCATTTCTACGCTGCAGCTCTGCTGCTCAGTTTACCAAACTCGCACACACACACACACGAAGGCTACTCAATCCATAACTCCTCTTTGTTATTGCTGGTCCAGCTGAACCTCTCACTTGCATTTGCCCAACTTTGACTTGTCATCCTCACCAACCCTTCTCGCCTTCCGTTTCAAATGGCGTCATCTTCTCGTAAAAAAGCCCTGCTGAAGGTGATCATCCTCGGCGACAGCGGGTAAGCGAAAGTGTTGTGTGTTGTGGTGCCTGTTATTGTCTTATTTACCACTTTTTCCTTTACTAACTCATCATTTCATCATCTGTTTCATTGTTTACGCCCACCGGACACAGCGTTGGGAAGAGCTCGCTGATGAACCAGTTTGTTAATCGGAAGTTCTCCAACCAATACAAGGCCACAATCGGTGCTGATTTCCTCACTAAAGAAGTAATTGTAGATGATCGACTGGTGACTATGCAGGTATGAAATTGCTAAATCAATCATGTCCACTATTTATTGATGATTTTTAAACTTTACTTTACAGATCTGGGACACGGCTGGGCAAGAGCGATTTCAATCATTGGGCGTTGCTTTCTACCGCGGTGCTGATTGCTGCGTTCTGGTGTACGATGTAACTGCTCCTAGTACTTTCAAGTCGCTCGACTCTTGGCGTGATGAGTTCCTGATTCAGGCTTCTCCTCGTGACCCTGAGAACTTCCCGTTTATCGTCATTGGCAACAAAGTCGACTTGGAAAATCGAGCTGTACGTATTTGAATTTTATTTTTTTCTGTTTTCTTATTAGCTATACATTTCGTCGTTTCAGGTGTCTACTAAGCGAGCCCAAGGTTGGTGCCAGAGTAAGAACAACATTCCCTACTTTGAAACATCAGCAAAGGAAGCTATCAATGTGGATCAAGCTTTTCAAACGGTCGCTAAGAACGGTTTGGCGCAAGAGACGGAGGTCGAGCTGTACAACTCAGAGTTTCCCGACAAGATCAACTTGTCACCTGATCAGGGACCTTCGCGACAGGACAATTGTGCGTGTTAAGTTGCGTGAGTTGTGACGGCCCTTCGGAGGAATCAGAAGAAACGCCAACATCAAGAGTCGATCATTAGCACCATTGCAAATTTATAGTCGACACGTTTATCTCTTTTTCTCTATTAATATTATTTTAAGCTAAATACATATTTATATTGTGATTCCTGCATGGATTCGTTGAAGAACACACACACACACACAAACAGACCTTGTAGCAAGCACCTGCAAATCTCTGCCATCAGGACTGTTTTGCCACTTGCTAGCTACTCAAGATGCCATACCTGGGCGCAACTTTGTCGCTATCTATTAAAAATCCTCTGTCTCTCACGTAAAACATCTCCCGTTTTTATCACTATCTTGCAACAAAGCTAAATATATATTTATATTTTTCAATTTCCCTTCCACTTCTTCCTGAAACTTCTGAACTCTGCTGATTTCCTACAACAGTTACGATTCTGTGCCTACAAAAGCTTTCACACAACTTCTCTCTCTTTACACAACCAACTCTCTTTAGACCAAGGGCCACACACTTTGCGCACTGTTAGTCGGACACCATTTCTCGCTGGCACTCCTCTCTCTTTCCATCCTCTTACCACTACTTTCTGTACCTACTTTTCTCTGTATTTACACTCCTCAACTGGTTTGAATTTAGCCATTTTATTCTATTATTAATACCTTTACCTTACACTGTATTGCTGACGTCTCTGCCTTTTCTCCATTTTATTTGACATCTCGGCCCTGATTGTTATGGCTTGCTTTACAGCTTGAACAGTGTTACATGTGCTTTCACGGCAATACAAAATCCTAGGACTTCCAATCGTTGGTGGATCATCATCTTTGAACTGAGCAGTTTCTCAGTCTGACCGCAGCGATAAACCCCTTCTCTTTCTCTACTCTCAGGCAATTGTATTGTATGGATGCTTGGAGTCAACTTGCGTTTGCTTTTTCACTTTTCTCAGTTTACACTATGACAATATTTATTTGCTAAAGTGTGCAGTGAGTTTGCCAGTGTTTTCGATGTTTGTACAATGTATTCTTACTCTCAGTGTATGTACACACGACAACCTGTTCAATAAAAGAATATTCGTATTTATTTTTAAAATCAAAAGTTTACCCTAACAAGCTGTGAAAAAACTCCCCAATGGTGTGTGAATGCCTTTAGTGTGCAATCCAGTGAATGCAAGCAGTGATAAGACCAATTCGAATAGAGTGATCAAGGAAATGTGCCATTAAGGTGAAGGAAGAACCAGCTGAAGAGAAGCCCAGAGAGCCGATTTGTGATTCAGGCGGCCGAATTGTGTAGACGATCAACTGCTCATCTACTGTTTTGCCGTCGTTGGTCTCGCTGGTTTCAATTGAGTCGACATTGTTCTCCGCTGAACCATCTCCCGCACTGGCTGCGGCGGCTGCGGTATTTGGTGTCGTCGTGTCTATCGATGGTGACGCTGTTAGCTGGCTCTTCTCAGCTCCATTCAGCATGGTTTCTCCCACGATGGCATCTGTTTCGATGCGACTGCTTGCGGCGGTGTCGATTTTGTTGTGATTTGCAACGTTGACAGTGGACGCTGTCGTCGCGGAGCCATCATCACTAGCGAAGAAATTGGTTCTCTCCATGACCTGCGGCTGAGTGCACTCTTTGCCGTTACTGTTTTGGAAAAAACAAATAAGTCATTAGATTAAAGTAAGTGGAGTTCAATGTAATCAAGAGGTGTTACATTTGCGAGCTGTAGTAGTTGCACCGAGAGATGAGAAAACTCATCGAGTGGTCCATCAGATTCTTCGCCTTTCTACCGCACTCCTCCAGCAGTGGTCGGTTGACGCAGTTCTTGAACTGGGCGTAGTAGCTGAAATGTCGAGAAACTTTTACACTTAATTCTGACACTAAGTGGTTACTTCCACTGCTTACCAGCAAATGTGGTCATCGTTTGCATTTTCATTCGCCACAATGTCAATCAGCTGCTGATAGCTGACTCCGCAGTAGTCGATGGACACCTGTTTGAAACAAGTCGCCTTGGCCAGGTACTCTACATTGCAACAAAAATCAGTTGAACAAACTTCTAAACTTTTGTTCTGGGGTAAAACTACCGTTTTGATACATTTTCGAGCTGCAAATTGCATGTACAGTGTCGATGGAGTTTTCAACTGACTTGTGAAACAGTGCACGGCGACTTTCCTCAAAGCAATTTGAAATGTAACGACGAATGCAGTCGACGAATTTGCTCCACATTCTAGAGATATTATCAATTGGCAATTTGAATACTAATAACTTTCAAAAAATTTTAACTTACTTGCACATGTTGTTGACACTTTCTAGACTGGTTGGAAACATATACTGTGGATTCTGTAGGTATGGATGCACCATGTCGGTGCAATTTGACTGTGAAGTTCGACATTCTTGTGGTGTGTACAGCAAAAATCTACTAGAAGCGGTCGAACTGAGAACTTGAGCGTTGCTTAGCGTTGAAAGAAGAATTATGATCAAAAGGAAACTTGGTTTGGATGCCATGATGAGTGAGAACACACTGTTGATGTTCGTTCCATTGGCTGGAGGAAACAAGCATCAGGGTACACTATAACTGACCAGACATGCTGTTTTCTTCTTAGGTACTAATAATAGGCAAAGGAATAGTGCAATCAATTAAACATCAGTGATTCAGTGAAATGTGCGCAAAACTGGCAGAGATGTGCACTGGACGGAAGAAGNAGGAAACAAGCATCAGGGTACACTATAACTGACCAGACATGCTGTTTTCTCCTTAGGTACTAATAATAGGCAAAGGAATAGTGCAAACAACTAAACATTAGTGATTCAGTGAAATGTGCGCAAAACTGGCAGAGATGTGCACTGGACGGACGAATTGCAGTGATGGTGGTCTTGGTCAAGCGGCGTGTGTGAGTGTGTGTGAGATTGTTGATTGCCTTTTTGCCTGACCATATCTCAGTGGATGTTGTGACTGCTGGTTTTGCTGCTGTAATCCCTTCCACAGGGATGCGCAGTGAAGGGAGGACAAATGCTAATTCAGAGTGGTCACCGGACGCACACTAAACTTGTCATTGTCATTCAAATGAGGGAGAGACTGTGTCAGTGGTGGAACTGCCTGCACTGACCAGTGTTGCTACTGCATTGCGCGCGCCAATTAGCGCTATCCTTGAAATGAAGCCACACCGGGCTGATGATGATGATGATGAGATGGGGGACGGCCAGCGGAAAGGAGACAATTACCACAGCTACAGGTGACATACGCACACAGACAGGTAATGAAAAAACGGAATTCAGTGCTGCTGGTCAGGGTCGTTCAAGGTTAATCGCTCACAACTTTTTTTCCGTACGGTGATTGCTAATTGGTTAAGGATCATTGCCACTTTCGAGCAAATAATGAATATTGTTGAATTATAAAAAAAATATTTCGCTAAACCATTTTTAGTATTAGAAGTACTTTTTAATACTTTTTCGCTGGTAATGCTCTATTGTTAAGGCTAAATCTACGCTAACCAGTTAATTTCCGTGCAGTTTTATGGTTTACCACAGCGACAGCCACAAAATCAGCCATCCGTAGAATTATTCGCATTGAACAAAAAGAGGGAGCAAATCCAAATGCCAACCACGTTTATGCTATATTGTACACAGCAAAATGACAAAGAAAAAACTGCCCACAAAATGATGTTATTTGTTTGCATCTTTTGTACATCAAAGTTCAATGGATTACATTTAAATGCAGTACCACACACTTGCTTCCGCGTTTAGCTGTGAATTTTACTTTGCATCAATAAACAGTGCAACCAAACATTAGTACAGCAAATAAAACTTGAATATACTTTGTTATATAAAAATCATGAAAAGAAGAGAAATATGTTTAAATAATATTAAACTGTAGGATAATAATCGCCGTGTGAGAGAAGAGCTGCCAAGAGCTGAGACTTGCCAGAAAGGTGTGAACCAAGAGCCATGTACAAAGTGTTTGCCTTCCAGAACAACCGCAAACTGTTGACACCTGGAACGCGGTAGCTGGAAACCAAAGAGAACTGTCCTGAACTTGTCGACTGAAACATTTCCACCGTGTTCGGTCGCGAAAGCGTAAAGAGGTACACATGCTTGCCAATCTCAACTAGGTCCATTGTGCCAGCTGCTAAATCATCGACTAAGGAGTCTAAAATGATTCGTTGATGCTGATGAAAGCCAGTTGGGCCACGGCGAAAAACGTCAATAATGTTTTCAAATGACGCAGGAATGTTTGCTGAAGAGACCGGACACAGGTCGCCACCTGTTTTCTGGTGAACTGTTGAGAATAGCAGAAGAGTGCCAAAGTTCTGGCTTTGAAAGAACTTTGTGCGAAAATAGAGCCTTGCTGAACGGGTCAACTGGAGTCTGAACTGCTTTGTCAGTTGAAACATTTGATTTGGATCCCAAATTAAAACCGATGCAGAGGGGCGATTTTCTTTTGACTGGTACATTGACTCGGTCAAATCATGCACAACAGAGAGGAGAATCAACGGCTGAGTGGTTCCGTCAGGAGGAAGCTGAATCAGGTCAAAGTCCAGATAAGGACCTTGTAGACTTTGAATCACAGACGAACGATCGGTGTTGAGGTCAATTCGTGCTACATCAATAGCAAGAGAGTGTAACTTGGACCGAGTAACCATAAGGTAATTGGCACGACTAAACTGGAGGTGTGTGTTGGCGAAAAAATCATGCTCAGGTTTGGCAAAGTTTTGAAGCATTACAAAGTAACGAAGTTCTGGATAAGAAAAATGATCAGAGATTAGATGGTTTCTAAACAATAAAAAAGCTTACCATTTATGTAGTCCATCCTGACAAACTCTTGCAAGTTTTCTTCAATTGCTCTCAAGTTGTGAATCTCCCGTTTTAGAGTAGAGTTCAAGCGGAAAACAGTTTGATTGAGGTTGGCAAAATATTTTGGATCAAATTGGTCAAAGGTAAAACTGTTGAGCTTTTCGGCAATGTTTAGGTGATCCATTTGAGTTGGTCTTTTGATGACCAATGTGCCGGT